AGAGTCTGCCTGCTGATGCAGGGGACACGGGTTCGTGCCCCGGTCCGGGAAGATCCCACATGCCACAGAGTGGCTGGGCCCGTGAGCCATGGTCGCTGAGCCTGTGTGTCCGGAGCCTGTGCTCTGCAACAGGAGAGGCCACAACAGTGAGAGGCCCGTGTACCGCAAAAAAAAAAAAAAATATATATATATATATATATATATATATAACTTTTAATATTCTCTCATAGAGGAAGGGGCCCATGAAGGCGAAGTGTCTAGGGCCCACAAAAGTCATAATGTGACCCTTATGAATGATCCCAGTGGATCCAAGTTCAATATTTGTTGGATTCATTTATAATGGCAAAAAAGTAAACATACCTAAGTATCCAGAATTGTTTGAGTCCAGGTACGATGGGGTGAAAAGATAGGAGTTGGTAATAGGAAAGTGTGATACTTAAAACTGAGATTATGGACTGTGTGAAGCAATTGGTAGTAACAAGGTTTGGATGGGAACATCCTTCTCACTGGTGGAGAAGAAACCAAGGTGATGGGAAGCTGGTTTTTTTGGTTATCTACTGCCATATTAACAAACATAGTGGCTTAAGACACTCACCATTTATCTGTTTAGCAACGATTTATCTGCTCATCCACGATTTATCTGGTAATATGGCTGCGCTCTGCTGAGCAGTTCTTCTCTTGGTCTTGCCAGGGCTCTCTCATGAGGCTGCAGTCAGCTGGAAGCTTGACTGGGGCTGGGTAACAGGACCTCATATGTGGTGGATGTTGCTCAGGGCATCTCAGTTCTCCTTCATGTGGCTTCTCATCTTCCAGCAGGCCTGACTGGACTTCTTTACATGATGTTGGAAGTTTTCTAAGAGGGCAAAGGGGAAGCTGTAAGACCTCTTGAAGCCCAGACTCTGGGGACTTACACAGTGTCATTTCTGCCACATTCTGTTAGTCAAAACAAGTCCTAGGACCAGCCCAGATGCAGGGGGTTGAGAAACAGACTCCACCTCTTGTTGCGAGGAGCAGCAAAATCACTGCAAAGTGTCATGTGGGACAAGAGGAACTGGAACTTTGCAAACAAACTATCGCACATGTTGGAAAAATTGTCTGTGTGGTACCAAATCAAGCATCACCAAGAATTTGACAGAAGTGAGAGTGAAGAGAGTGACAAGCCAGGCGCTAAAATCTTCAAAGCCTGAGGGAGTAGTGAGTGATACAATCTAATGCTATCAACTTCTAAAGCTTCAAGTATCTTTATTGTTTTATCAGTGAATGTGAGTGAATTTCATTAATGAAAAGGAATTCTTCATTTTTCACAACTTTGAGTCAGTCACTCATCAATTCAGACTATATCTTAAGGAAGGAACCTAAAACATGGGGAAAAAACCTATATGCATGAAAATTTGTAGCACTTTTATTTATCTGGGAGCTGTAGCCCCAGTGCCTGCCCCAGTCCCTAGGATGATGTCTGGCATGGAGTAGTAACACATAGGTGCTCAGTAAATATTTGTTGAATGAATTTAAAATGGCAAAAAGTAAATGCAACCTAAGTATCCAATAATGAGGGCTAGGTTAAATTTGGGTGTATCTATTTCATAGACTATCATGCAGCCATAACAAAAATTATGATTTTAAGGACTATCAATATATGATGAGGAGTAAAAAAAAAAAGCAGGATATAACATTACAGGTTCTGTGTAAAAACAGCTGGATAGGAAAAGAAGTCAAACAACAGCAGTGGTTTTATGAAGCAAATAGAATCATGAGTGATTTTTAACTTTTTTCTTTTTTTTTTTTTTTTGCCACACCACGAGGCTTGTGGGATCTTAGGTCCCCAACCAGGGATTGAACCCGGGCCACGGCAGTGAAAGTGTCAAGTCCTAACCACTGGACCACCAGGGAATTCCCCAAATTTTTAGTTTATTCTAAAAGTTCTTTAATGTTACTGAATTTCTTTTAGAGTAAGCAAAAGTTGAACACATTCATTTTGGAAAGATGAGAAATGTTGAAAAGCATCAATAAGAAAAAATAACCTATAACTCCATCATCCAGGAAAAAAAAATCACTGCCAACGTTGAGACACATTCTGTTTTGTTTCTTGCTTTTTTTTCCCTTCACCTGACGTATTCTTAGCTTTTAAAAATATATATCTTTAGACTTCCAGGAGGTGACTTTTTTTTTTTTTTTTTTGCGGTACACGGGCCTCTCACTGTTGTGGCCTCTCCCGTTGTGGAGCACAGGCTCTGGACACGCAGGCTCAGGGGCCATGGCTCACGGGCCCAGCCTCTCCGCAGCATGTGGGATCCTCCCGGACCAAGGCGCGAACCCGTGTCCCCTGCATCGGCAGGCGGACCCTCAACCACTGCGCCACCAGGGAAGCCCCAAGAGGTGACTTTTAATAGTCACATATGGTTAATATACCATAATCTATTTGACTTACAGTAATTTTGGACATGATAGATTCTTTGCAATTTTTCAGTGAAAAAAATAATAATAAATGGTCAGAGCCGTGGCATCACTCAACTCAAATTTAGAAAGCTCTTGAGGAAAGAGGTGATCAGAGTTCCAGGGAAGGTGGCTAGGAAGATAGGGTGGGTGTGGCTGTTCTGTCCAATGGAGAATGCAAGAAAAATTAGTCCAGCGGCTCCGACTTGTTGGGGGGGGTCTGTGGGAAGCTGCTCTGCACGGGCTAGGACTCCTCCTTCCCATGTTTTGAACTTAAAGATCGTGAAATTTTTTTTTTTTTTTTTTTTTTAATTTTTGGCTGCGTGCGGGCTTTCTTCGTCGCTGCGTGCGGGCTTTCTCTAGTGGCGAGCGGGGACTACTCTTCGTTGCAGTGCGCAGGCATCTCATTGTGGTGGCTTCTCTTGTGGAACATGGGTTCTAGGCGCGCAGGCTTCAGTAGTTGTGGCACACGGTTTCAGTAATTGTGGCTCGCAGGCTCAGTAGTTGTGGCACACGGGCTTAGTTGCTCCATGGCATGTGGGATCTTCCTGGACCAGGGCTTGAACCCGTGTCCCCCCACACCGCCAGGCGGATTCTCAACCACTGAACCACCAGGGATGTCCAAAGTTGGTGAAATCTTGATTTGAAGGACTAGAGATGGACAATGGTGGTCCTGATCTCTGCCCTCTTGCCTTGTGCAAACAAGAAACGGTTTCCCGCCCTTGCCTCTGCTTCGAACAGATATCTCTGAGCCATTAGCCTGGAGGGATAGAGCTCCCTCACTCACCCTACATAACTCTCTCAGTCTGAGCTCTGGGTTTGGGGCAGTCGACGATTAGCCTGAGGTCAAGAATGGATGTTTTCCGGGGTACACAGGTGGGAACTTGGGGGGCACATTTACAAAGTCAGGGGCGTTCCCAGTTCAGAGAAGCTTCCCAGTAGTGGTCACGAAAGTAGGGTAGGAAAGACAGACATGACGGAAGGAGGGATGGAGGGGGTGGGTGAGTGGGCCAGGCTAATACTTAGGCACGGATCGCTCCTGGAAGGTTGTGGTTGGCAATGAGGGGGGGAAAGAAGCGGACGGGGCGGAGGAGGAGGGGAGCAGACAGATTAAGCAGGTGATGTAGGATGTACAAATGGAGGAGGCGTGGGCTGGTGACAGGAGGAGGGCGAGGAGCGGCAAGTATGCCCCGAACGTGCATGGGATATATATGAGAAGCGTGATGGGAAGCGGGCTGGTGAGAGCAGAGGTGGGGCGTGGGGTGAGCAGTGCGGGTCACGAAAGCGGAGATGTGAGATGGAGAATAACGGCTGTGCACATTTGGCCGACCCTTTACAGTCTGTTCCCATTTAGACTCCCATAATTTCCTCCTCCCGTCAGGGAGAGCGAGGTGCGGAGAGGTCGGGCGGCTGCGGAGGGTGGGGTCCCAGGAGAGCGCGAGGCCCAGAGGAAGGGTGAGCGCCGGGGCGGGGGTGCGCGGTGCGTCGCCGGGGGTGGGCGCCGGGCGCGGGCGGG